ACAGCGGGAGGTGGGGGGAAGAGCGAGCTAAGCTTCATCTGCCGCTCCCCATTGCTGGCATTACTGCCTGAACCGTCCCGCCAACGCCCCCATCCCCGGCAGTGGAAAAATTGTCTTCCACGAAACCAATCCCTGGTGCAAAAATGCTGGGGACCACTGGTCTACATAATTCCTTTCAGTTTCAAAGTGCTCTTTACTAGGGATAAAACCCATTCCATTGTTAGAGGCTAGTTTCAAAGATCAACTTTCTAGTAAGCCAGAGCAATACAGATCAAGTCTACTCTATTTTCAAATATTTGAAAATAGCCATCATGTTCTCTTTTAGCAAGTCTTCTCATCCCTTGGCCTCTTTCTCTAGAATGTTCTTGTCAGTTAGCATGTATTTTGGGAATATCTTCTATGGAAGGGACCCTATTATATGCATGGGTGGCTGGAGAATGCGATAGACATGACAGACAAAATCCTGCCCCTGAGGATGTCGTGGTCTGGGGGTGGGGGCATGCCTCCATATGTATGTAACACAAATATAATACCAGGTACTCTGTTCCAAGCTCTGGAAATCTGAAGTCTCAATGAAACACTTACCTGAATCTCAGAGAAAATCCAGAACTACTTTTTGAGGAAAATCCTGGCCTTCCCCACAAGTTTCCTTTAGGACCCTCCCCTAAGAAGGTTAATATGTAACATCTATCAAATTATTGATCTCCAGCATCTACAAAAATTACCTCAAAGGTGGGAATATCTCCCAGTGTGTGTCTCATGAAGTACTCCAGGGGAAATAGGGGGATTTTGTGGTCAAATATGTTTGCAAAACAAGGCACGATCTTGGAAATTTGCCATATACCTTAGCATTGTAAAGGCTTCTAGAAGGTAGCAATTTCTTTGACTGCAAAACCCCCTTTTTTTTTTTTTTTTTTGAGACCACTTACCAACATCCCATGGAACTGCTAGTCCCTGCAGGAAATGCTGGCCTGAGACCATGCTTCCCAAATCTGGCTGATTCTCACACTCACTTGGGAGACTTTTTCACACAGTGCCCTCTGGTCTCACGCCAGAGCTGCTGAGTCAGATTCTCTGAGGCTGAAGAAAAGTTCAAGAAGCTTCCTTGTCGATTGGTTTGCTAGTCTGGTGTGGGGCCTCAGATCCAAGGGAGATGTGATCGTCTCCACTGTTCTAAGTTGTAACTTGGCTTCATGACTTCAGCCCCTCGCAAAACATCCTTTCATACTTGCATATTGTGAGGTTTGCTATATGAAACAACACATGAAAACTGCTTCCAAGTTTGCTGTAACATCAAATTTCATTATAACACTTGTATTTATATAAATTCTCACACTTGGAATGTCAAGAATTTAGTGAATTTAGTTTCAAGTATCTATCAAATTACTGATCTTCGGCACTTAATCACGAAAGCTATATAACGTATGTTTTACTTTTTGTCCAGACTGCCAGGGAGTTCAGTCAAATCTCATGCTTAATTATACCAAATAAACCAATTCTCATAGTTAGCATACATGCTTCTTGTCCTTCTTATGGCACTGCTTTTCTATTTTATTATATTCATATTATATTATATTAATTAAAGTTACATAATTTTAGGAAAATGATGAAGAGAAAATAAGTACCAGTTCATCGTTTAGGAGCCAATATATCACAGGAAAAATGTAAAATTCTGAATTCAGTGAGGAAAGGAATAAAAAGCTCTCAAGGCAGGGAGAATGACGTGAGTTTTCAGCCTGGTCATTAAGATTAATATGCCTGGTTTAACCTTAAGGCAGCATTTTCACTTTCCCACGACCTTAAATGTAAGTTATTATCATGGCAGTGACCAATGCACCTCAGTGATTCTGACCTTTTCTAAGTCACATTTTACTTTCATTTGTATCGTTCAGGCAAAGGAGCTCAAATATCTGAGAAGGGGATGCTTCAGAATAGGCTTGCTTCTGTGCACTAAGGAAAATAAAGCATCTGTCATGACTTCTGAATCTTTTAAATCTTTAATTCTTCAAAATTATTCTCAGAAAATTATCTTAGTCAGATGATTCGTTGTATAATTAGGCTTTATTGCTTGATTTATTGAGTGCTCTCTGGTTTGACACATTCGTCCTCAGCCTAATAGGAGGGAAGATGGTTCTCTGTGGGGCTTCTCACCAAGTCTAACCAGTGGTGACGGCTGAAGTTAATCTACTGTGCCTCAGACTGGTTTGCTGTGGAATTATTTACATTGGGACATTAAAAAAACAAACAAACAAACAAATCTGCTGTGTACCTTTTATTGAATGGGGTGGTGGTGATTAACCTTCAGAGAATACATGAATATTTGACAAAAGAACAACAAATTAAAAGAGTAAAGTAGTATAAATAGTCTAGTAAATTAGCAAATAAATAGTCCTCTAGGGAAAAGATGTTCCAAAAGTTCTTACCAACTTGCTTTCATGTGTTCTTGTCTTAATTGAAAGACATTGCCATTCCTAATGAACATGCAAAAGCCATGTTCTCAGTAAGGGCTGACTGTTCCCCCAACTGCCCATCACCAATGAGCACACCATACAAACCAAGAGAAATGGGAAGTGAGATTAATCTTCTCTCAGTTCATTTTATAGCTCAGGTTTTGCTTATAGGAAATGTTCAATAAATGCTTGCTGACTTGACCAGTTTTGCCAGTAGCATTAGCTGTTCCCTAAACAACTACATACTTTAAAATATTTCTTGAACATTTTACATAATGTTGTGAATTCAACGGGAAGAGCCAAGTTTTTGTTTCCTCTCTTCATAGGACAGAAGAAAGGCAGTTCTGGATTGGATTTAACAAAAGAAACCCACTGAATGCTGGCTCTTGGGAGTGGTCTGATGGAACTCCTGTAAGTCTTTCCAAGCTAGAGAAAAGAAAATGAATTCAAAGCAGGTGGCCCTGGAACCACTTGGTAAACCAACCAAGAGAACCTGGAAAGAATGACCATCTTCCCCATGATCCAAACCTAAATCAAAAGCTGCACCAAACCTTGGTACCAAAAGAGTTATTTCAGCAGGGTCTTGAGAAACCTTTGCTAGCCAGATAGTTCTAAAGCCAGCTATAAGATCTCATCCCAAAAGGAATCAAATTCTCTGAAAAAGCCCCCAAAACCATCTCCCATGTGAAGAATCTCCAGCAGAGGAGCAACTATTCTCTAAAATAATACCAGGCTTCCTTTGCACCACCCCCGCACCTCTGCCACATAGCACCTGATTGTGTGAGTGTGGGACCCTTGTCTGTGTCACAGTGAAAAGAAACATTTTCAGTTTCTCTCACTCTAAAAGAACAGAAATGCCAGCCTTAGAAACAGCTCCTCCTTCCCAGACAAAGCAAGTTATTTGGAAGGGAAAAAAAAGACTTGCTTTTCATTCAGCCTCACGTGTAAAAAAAACCTCTATGAAGGAAAGAGGGAACTCACAATTACGTTTTGGGGTTGTTTTTTTTTCCAAGTGCAGTGAGGATTTCTCAGATTTTCCTCATAATAGGGAAAAAACAGTAGCAGTATCCCAGATTAAAGTGAGATCCATCTGAAGGCACATGCAACATCAAGTTATTCAGTTTCACCTGTGAACTGGGGTTAGCAACAGCCTGCAGTGAGCATTTAATGCAGCTCCTGTTCATTGAGCCCTAATTATGTTCTGAGCGCTGAGCTGAGTGCACTCCTGCATGATCTCATTTCATCCTTACGGTGATTCAATACAGTGGGTATTAAAATGATTAAAGAGTTAGCCTAAAATAATACATAAGAGAGACAGTATTTGTACACAGGTTGTCTGCCTCCAAAGCCACAATATCATAATGTCTCCTCGTTGGCAAAACAGCGGCAGCCAAACTTTGAAATAGTAAAGATCAATAGAGAAAAGGGATCTATCTCTAGGCCTGCTACATAGATGGTGTTCAAATCTGTAGCAAGGAAGGGGTTTGCAGAAAAGCTACATGCAAAAACATAAGAGTGTGCTAGTTTAAAAAAATAACGATTCTACCCCGGTACTGCCTCTTTGAAAAGGGCATCAGGACCAGAGAACAGGAAGAGATCTTAGAGATCACCCAGCCCCACCCAACTGTTTTGCTGATGAAGAAACCAAGGCCCAGAGAGTGGAAGGGGCATAGCAGGGTCGACCTACCCCATAAATGGCAGCCACCACATGGCACAGTTGGGTGGTTAATATTAATACGGCACTTGGAGAATAAAATGTGGTACATAGAGGTTGAGAGTGCGTTTTAGTAAAACAAACAAATAAACAAAAACTCATCAGTAATAGGAGAGGAATAGACAATGTGGTTCAGAATCAATGAGATTAAGCGATGAAGCAGAGGACTGAGTCCCTTGCACTTCCCTCTGGACAAAATAAATATCAAACTCATGCCATTCTCTGAATCTGAGCTTATATATATTTAAGTTAGATGAATTGTTGCATGACTGTGTAGATGTTTGAGGAGGAGTATAAATGGTTTCAAAACCCTCTTTTTTTCAAATTTTTTACCTCAGTTTTACTCATGGTCCATCCACTCTTCTGTCAAGTAGTCATCAAATCATTGAGAAGGTTGAATCTCTAGTCAATACCCCGTTATGTGATCATTCCTGGAAAACATTGGATAGTTTCCTGATTAAAGCTAGGGTTGACTTACAAGTCAGTGATTAGAGACTAAAAGCCTAGTATTTATGCAAAAGAATCTACATCAAAGGTGAGACTCGATTCTGAAAGATCCTTGAACCTCTAAACAGTTTACCCAGGATCCCAGGGCTAGCCTAATCTTGCCAGTGAGAAAACAGTGCAAGTTCATCTGACTTGTTCTTTCTGGAGAAAAGAGTAGAATGCCTCTTAAAGAAACGAAAAAAAAAAAAAAGGCACCTTCAAGAAAAAAATGATAAAGCTTTGATTAGCTTGCTTTTCACAATTGTGGAACCACCTTTAACTGGCATCATAACCTACTTCCTCCAGAAGTCTATTGTGATTTATTTACAGGGATGCCTTTTTGATCTTTTGAAACTTTTTGCGGGGGATCATTATTAAGGAATAATGAACTTCATCTGCTGCAGGTTGTCTCTTCATTTTTAGACAATAATTATTTTGGAGAAGATGCGAGAAAATGTGCTGTTTATAAGGCAAATAAAACGTTGCTACCCTCATACTGTGGTTCCAAACGTGAATGGATATGCAAAATTCCAAGAGGTAAAAATATTAATAAGATCTTTACTATTTGTTTGCTTTCTAATAATCTATAGCATTTTCCCAAGTGAACAGTTACAGAGGTCTAAAATTTAAGCACCCTGGAGCACAGTACCAACAGCCTTCATGATGAACCAAATTGTACTCTTTTAGCAAATAATGTATCATGGGGGAATGAGAAAAGATGACACCAGTGCAGTACGCTAACTTAGTAGGAAATGAAAATAACTGCCTATGTTGTGGAATACTGTATTTTGCAAGTACAACCTGGAAGAAATGTCACTGTGACATTACAAGCAAACAACATTACTTATCAAATGAGTAAGTGAAAGCACCTGGCACAGTGTGACACGCAGTAGGCTCTCAACAAGTATTCACATCCTTTTCTCCTTAGCCAGAGGTCTCTCTTGAGCTTCCTCTTCAAGTATGAGAACTTACCACTTTCCAAACAACACCTGGTTCTTAAATGATCTTTTAAAAAGCAAAGTCCGAAATATTGTGTTTAGACCTAAAGTAATTCAGAGATAGTACACCTGTAAGTAAAGTTCACTCAAACTGGTTTGCTTTCACTCTGCAGATGTGAGACCCAAGATTCCACCCTGGTACCAGTATGGTAAGAACTATCCTGGCAGTCCTTGAATTTCTAATTCTGTGCTGTTTTGTAGCATTACTGTGTTATTACATAGCTCCAATCGAGTTTCTCTTTTCTTGTGTCAATTGAGAACTAATTTTTTCAAATTAACAAATTCATCATTAATAAATAATCAAACTAATAAATGTCACTAAATATTACTGAAGACTAATATCATAGCTTAACTCCATTTTCATGACACATGATTTAAAAATATGTATCTATCCCAGACTTTTGAATATATGTGAATGTTTCTTATATGAAATAGACCAAGGAAAATAAGTAAATTGTATACTTATTTATGTGTGGGAGTGGGTGTATACACACACATTTTCTTAATGCTGAGTGACCAAATTACACATTTGGGGTCAATCATAGTATACCCTGTTTAAGTCTGTATTACATTGCTCAATAATTGTTGCCTCACCTGTGTTGCTTATTTTTCTTTCAGATGCACCCTGGCTCTTTTATCAGGATGCAGAGTACCTTTTTCATACCTCTGCCTCGGAATGGTCCTCCTTTGAGTTTGTCTGTGGCTGGCTGCACAGTGATATTCTCACTATTCATTCTGCACGTGAACAAGAATTCATCCACGGCAAAATAAGAGCGGTACTTAAATATGATTAACTATGAGAAACTCAGAGCTTAACTCCTTCTTCTGTCCTTGAGGGATTTTGTTTTTATATTACTTCAGACATTTATCTGTTTCATTAAAAGTCTTAGATTTTTAAGAACTGTTTTTCTTCCTGTCATAGAGATTTAGAGCAAATAATGGAAACACAGGTTTACAATGCTGGTCAGTCATTTCACTTCTCCTCATGCTTTTTTAGCAACAAAGGATGAGTAAATAGCATTTTATTGTTTTTGTGAGGTTCATTCCATCATTCAATGCATATTTATTGAGTCTACTCTTCTAGGGGCTGAGGCTCTATCAGTGATTAAAATAGACCAAAATTCCTGCCCACCTGGAGTTTTTAGTCTAGTCTGGGAAGGAAGACTGTAATCAATATAAATAAATAGAATTACATAATATTTTAGAAAAAGATAAATGGATAAATGCCATGGAGGAAAATAAAGCACAAATGAGCGACAAAGAGTACTGGGAGGTGCATGGCTCTTTTAATGTTTCAAATTTGACTATTAAGAGTACAATATTTTTTTAGACTCTATGCAGAAAATGGTAAGGAGTGGTTCTCCATTTCAACTTCAGATAGAGAAATTCTTTGAGAAGCTAGGCTTGTTAGAAAGCAGCATGCAAAATCCATTAAACAATGAATAGACTGCCAAGGAATAGTGTTGGTTTTCAGTGTATTTCTTCAGCAAGCATTTATTGAGCATTAGGTATGTCTCAGACATTGTAGTATTTGTCAAGGACACAAAAATGTCAAGGACACAAAAATGAAATACAGTCAGTATCTTTAAAATGCTGGAAATAACACGATGTAATAAGGGAAAAGGGAGCAGTATGTACAAATTACCAAGGGGGTCCAGGGAGGAAAAACCTCATTCCCAATTTTCCCTAGGAAATTGTTGAAGATAAGAAAGAGCCTTTTTTCTTTTCCCATAATTTAACATTAGTTCATGCTCTGCAGGAATCCTTGGTTGCTCTATCATCTTTTCCTATGTTTGTAAGTTGACTGTTAAAATGAAGCTCTGGATTAAAGCATCCTTGACTTGTAAGCAAAAAGTCTCCCCTCACACCTCATTGGGCTTTCCTGTTTCTATAATTCTGTTTGATACACATACAGCCTGTGAAGTGCATGCAGGTTGGGACTACTACTGCATTTTGATGGAAAAGTCAAGAACCAGAGGAGTTAGGTGACAACTGCACGGCCTCACAGAGACTCAGTGGCAGACCAACCATGAGAACTGGATGTTCCCCAGTATTGGTTCATGCATTGTTTAACTACTCTTCATCTCCTACAAATGGAACACTCAAGCCAAAACTGTAATATTAAGTATCAACAAATTACATATCATGACCTCAGAAAATACATTTGTTTCTTTAGCTAGACAGCAGACTCCTCACCCCTGGCGGCAATAACAAGAGATCAGGTGAATAGCTAAAAACTAATCCATGGACATGCAAAGGGCACATCCCAAAAGGAGCTGATATTTGGCCAATAGTTACTGTAACAGTGTCAAGCACGGCTAAGTACTAACATTTAATGGCATTTATTCTTTCTAAGAACTCTCTGTGGGAAGTTCTGTCGTCAGCATAATTTACAGATGAAGAAGCTAAGACTCCAAAGAGGTGAAGGAACTTTGTTACACAGCAGCTAAGTAGTGGAATTTGGAAGCGATCCCAGGTCATCTGACTTACAAGGTCATTTAAAAAAATGGCCGCAGGCAGCAGAACAGCATATTCATTACATTAAAATGCTAGTTCTAAAATCCATCCAAAAAAGGAAACCCTTGTTCATTGTTGGTGGGAATGTAAGTTGGTGCAACCTCTATAGAAAATAGTATGGAGGTTCCTCAAAGAACTAAATCCAGCAATTCCACTCCTGGGTATATATCTGAAAGAAGAATGAAAACACTAATTCGAAAAGATACATACACCCCAATGTTCATAGCAGCACTATTTACAGTAGCCAGGACATGGAAGCAACCTAAATGCCCATCAACAGAGGAATGGATAAAGAAGATGTGGCACATATATACAATGGAATATTAGTCATAAAAAAGAATGAAATTTTGCCATTTGCAACACGTATATGGACCTAGAGGGTATCATGCTTCGTGAAATGTCAGACAGAGAAAGATAAATACTGTACGTTATCACTTTTATGTGGAAGCTAAAAAACAAAACAAATGATTAATATAACGGAACAGAAACAAACTCACTGATACAGAAAACAAACTAGTGGTTATCAGTACGGAGAGAAAAGGAGGACAAGATAGGGGTAGAGGATTAAGAGATATTACCTACTATGTATAAAATAAATAAGCTACAAGGATATACTGTACAGCATAGGGAAATATAGCCATTATTTTATAATAACTTTAAATGGGGTATAATCTATAAAAGTTTTGAATCACTATGTTGTATAGCTGAAACTAATATAATATTGTAAAACAACTATACCTCAACTTTTTTTTTAACTTTTTAAAATTAATAAATAAAATAAAATAAAATCCCTCCCCAAAAGATGGCTGTCAGCTCTGTCTCAGACATGCACAGTAAAGGGCTTCTTTGATCATTCCAGCAGAGCTTAGCTCTTTTAGGAACTTCTGCAGGTCTTCTCTCTTAATGTTTCCCTTAATTCACTCTCCCAGTCTTTGGTTGTTGGGAAGTCAGTGGAAATGGCAGAGTTAATACCTCCCATTGAAGGGAATAGTAAAACCCCACAGGCTTAGACATTTGAAAGGGCATAGCCAGTGCCATGATCTAGTTGAGGACTAGATCTAGTGATCTCAAACCAGACAAACCTTGTAGTGTCTTATACGGCAAAATTATTACCAAACCTGTGACCATATTAATAAAGAATGCCCTGTCCGTATTATGGGTGAGTGGCTGAGTGATGTAACACTGCATTGTGCCACAGAAGAAAATCATAGGGAATGTGCAGACCAAGAATGAGCAAGAAAGCGAAATGGGAAGGGTATCAATTTAGAAAAAAGAATGCTGTACATTTCTAAAGCAGTTCTTCCTCCTGCTTAGTTTGTAGCAGTTAGGCAATGTTTGTTAGTGGTAGCGGTGGTATTTACGGTGACCATTTACATTTCTTAACTAAGAAATCCCATATCTAAGAACGTCTTGCTGGAATGAGTCAGTCCAGAAGTTCTGGATGAGGAACTAAACATGTAGAGGTCATACCACTCATTCTTGTGGCATGCCCATCCTATAGTTGCAGGAAGAATAAGAATTAAATAATTAAACATTTTTAAAGTTACATATGTATTGTATAGCTCCTCTAAGAAGAGCAGTAACTCAGAAATGTGAAAGACAAAGATAACATTCAGTTGGGGAGTAGAAGAACTAATTATTATTATTTTTGTGTGTGTGTGTGTGTGGGGTACATGGGCCTTTCACTGTTGTGGCCTCTCCCGTTGTGGAGTACAGGCTCTGGATGTGCCAGCTCAGCAGCCATGGCTCACAGGCCTAGCCGCTATGCGGCATGTGGGATCTTCCCAGACCAGGGCATGAACCCGTGTCCCCTGCATTGGCAGGTGGACTCTCAACCACTGCGCCACCAGGGAAGCCCAGAAGAACTAATTATTGAAAAAGAAAGCTGGATGCATTTTTTTAAATCTGAAGCACAATTTTTTTAACAGAATATTTCCATCTTGGAAAAGTGATGAGTCAGAATTTCCTCTTTGACTAACAGAAGACCACAAGGCATGATGTGAGGGAATTTTTGAGTACTAGTTTTTTGAGCCATCTTTTTGGTCAGATTAATGCCAAAAAAGTAAAAAAAAATGAGCACTTTAGGCGTTGTTTGACATGAACTAACATTTTTATGCTGTGTTGTACAATATTTGCATTTCAAAATTGCAATTTACTCTTTTAAAATTTTATTTCAAAATATTTCTAACAAAAATATATCAAATCTATTAGTCATCCTCAAAAATCTGGTGTTTTAAATCCTTAAAATAACTTGGTTTTGCTATTTTTATGGAAACATTTTAAGATATGACAGGTTGTTCTTCCTTATACTGCTTAGTAGATTAATATATTGGCTATTGCTGTGGGTTATTTCTTTTTGGTGTGTTCTTCCATATGATGCTATCTATAATGACTGCTTTTCTGTAACAAAAAGTAATTGATACTATGAGGTGCATGGTTGTATCACATTTTTTATACAAAAGAGTACTAATGTCTTCTATTGTTGTGGTTTCATACCTAAACTGAAATTTTCAACATCTATTTTTCACATTGGATTTTTCACTGTGGGTGTCTCTATCTTGTCCTGTGAATTTCTGTTCCATATCACAACAGGTTGTGATGTGCCCTGTGGAGGATTACCGTGCTATAATCGAGGTAGTAATAAATATGCCACTTAAGATGCAGTAGTTATACTTCCTCTTTAGAGGTCCTTAATTGGGGCAGTGAACAATCAGGCCATGATTTCCACTCTTGTTGCACATAAGACCTCTTTAGATTGAACGAAATTGTTGTGGTTCTTCCACTGATTTCAAAGCCAGTCTCCATGGACCCATTCCAAAATCTGACAATAGGAGTCTAAATTCAGCATGTAAGAACACGTCCATGTAACAACAACTGAGGGATCCAAAATTATAGTTGCTCCATCTTGCATTATTTTCAAATTGCTGACATGGCAGACAGCCACACTGATTAAGGAGTAAAAATACCTGTGTATAAATTAGAATGTTAGAGAGCTATTAGGTTCTGTTGTATGATGACCTGAAATTCACATGGAAAAAATATTTATATATCTTAAAATGCATTCCCAAGTCTTTACAGAAGAAAGGAAAGTGTAAATTTAAATGTACAATGCCTTCAAATTAACAGGATTTTAGCATAAAAAATTAAGTTACATTTCACACACAGCCCACACACAATAAAGAATATTGATTTAAAGACCTTAGAGAAATCCTTAATGCCTGTTCTTCTTTTATAAAGAGGGAATTTCAATTTCCTGGGTCATACGTCCAGTATTACATCTGCTCTAATGTGCATATGCATGTGCATGCCTATGGTGTTTCAAGTTTATTCTTTATTGTACTGGGATCTATGTAATAAATAATGGTGTAAATTCATAAAATACATAAAGCATAATTTTCTAGTTGTCAAACATTGGAAATACTGTAGTATTATTTTGTCCTATAATGCAGTTTCCATTTGAATGGGGAGGGTGCTAATACTTAGTTTAAAAACTTAACAGTCAGACTAATGCCTAAAATACAAATTATTTTTACTATTGAGGTCTTTGTGCCTCGAATTGTTTTTCAAGTAGGTGGCATGTATAGTAAACTTCTATAAATCACTGAGTGCATAAACCACTAAATTTTTAGTCAAAAAAGGAATCCACATTCTATTTTACTTTACAATATTACTTTCTAAATTCCTATTATGAGAGTTAGAGAATTTACTTTTAAATATATATAGGAAACATTGTAACAAAGTTATGGCATGTTGTATGAAACCAAAATAATTTTCAATATTTGATTCCAATTTTCTTACATAATGAGGAGGGAGTAGTTTAGAATAATGAAGTTTCAGGTCTTCTCAAGATGCTAGGCCTTAGTGTACTCTTCTTTAGATAATTGGGTAAAATACTGAAGAATAGAAAGCTATTAACAGTGACCCCATTAATCTTAATAGTGAAAAGGGAAAAAAAGTAGGATAAATGCTGACATTCTCTCTCTCTTTTTTAAATAGCTATCAAAATATGGTGTAAACTGGTGGATTGGACTTCGGGAAGAAAGAGCCAATGATGAATTTCGGTATGGACATAGATTAATTTGCATTTAACTTTGTTTAACAGGTTTTTATTTGCAGAATGACTGGACTAGATCTTAGTGGTTAACTTGTTGAATAGGAGATTGGTTTAAGACGGTGCAGTAGAAGGATATGCTCTCACTCCCTCTTTCGAGAACACCGGAATCACAACAAACTGCTGAACAATCATCAACAGGAAAACACTGGAACTCACCAAAAAAGAAACCTCACATCCAAAGACAAAGGAGAAGCCACAGTGAGACTGTAGGAGGGGCGCAATCACAATAAAATCAAATCACATAACTGCTGGGTGGGGGGATTCACGATCTGGAGAACAATTATACAACAGAAGTCCACCCACTGGAGTGAAGGTTCTGAGCCCCACATCAGGCTTCCGAACATGGGGGTCCAGCAATGCGGGGAGGAATTCCTAGAGAATCAGACATTGAAGGCTAGTGGGATTTGATTGCAGGACTCCGACAGGACTGAGGAAAACAGAGACTCCACTTTTGGAGGGTACACAGAAAGTAGTGTGTGCATCAGGACCCAGGGGAAGGAGCAGTGAATCCAGGGGAAACTGAACCAGACCTACCTGCTAATGTTGGAGGGTCTCCTGCAGAGTTGGGGGGTGGCTGTGCCTCACTGTGAGGACAAGGACACTGGCAGCAGAAGTTCTGGGAAGTACTCCTTGGTGTGAGCCCTCCCAGAGTCCACCATTAGCCCCACTAAAGAGCCACATAGGCTCCAGTGTTGGGTTGCCTCAGGCCAAACAACCAACAGGGAGGGAACCTAGCCCCACCCATCAGCAGACAAGCAGATTAAAGTTTTACTGACCTCTGCCCAACAGAGCAACAGCCAGCTCTAGCCACCACCAGGCCCTTCCATCAGGAAACTTGCACACGCCTCTTAGACAGCCTCATCCACCAGAGGGCAGAAAGCAGAAGCAAGAAGAACTACAATCCTGCAGCCTGTGGAACAAAAATCACATTCACAGAAAGATAGACAAGATGAAAAGGCAGAGGGCTACGTACCAGATGAAGGAACAAGATAAAACCCCAGAAAAACAACTAAATAAAGTGGAGATAGGCAACCTTCCAGAAAAAGAATTCAGAATAATGATAGTGAAGATTATCTAGGACCTCGGAAAAATAATGGAGGCAAAGATTGAGAAAATGCAAGAAATGTTTAACAAAGACCTAGAAGAATTAAAGAACAAACACCTAGAAAAATTAAAGAACAAACAAACAGAGATGAACAATACAATAACTGAAATGAAAACTACACTAGAAGGAATCAATAGCAGAATAACTGAGGCAGAAGAAAGGATAAGTGACCTGGAAGACAGAATGGTGGCATTCACTGCCCTGGAACAGAATAAAGAATGAAAAGAAATGAAGACAGGGCTTCCCTGGTGGCACAGTGGTTGGGAATCCGCCTGCCAATGCAGGGGACGCGGGTTGGTGCCCTGGTCCCACATGCTGCGGAGTGGCTGGGCCCGTGGGCCACAGCTGCTGAGCCTGCATGTCTGGAGGCTGAGACGGTGAGAGGTCTACGCAAAAAAATAAAAAAAGAAGAAGAAGAAAAAAAAGAAATGAAGACAGCCTAAGAGACCTCTGGGACAAAATTAAATGCAACAGCATTCACATTATAGGGGTCCCAGAAGGAGAAGAGAGAGAGAAAGGACCAGAGAAAATATTTGAAGAGATTATAGTCATAAACGTCCCTAACATGGGAAAGGAAACAGCCACCCAAGTCCAGGAAGCACAGAGAGTCCCATACAGGATAAAACCAAGGATAAACATGCGAGACACATAGTAATCAAATTGACAAAAATTAAAGACAAAGAAAAATTATTGAAAGCAGCAAGGGAAAAACGACAACATACAAGGGAACTCCCATAAGGTTAACAGCTGATTTCTCAGCAGAAACTCTATAAGCCAGAAGGAAGTGGCATGATATACTTAAAGTGATGAAAGGGAAGAACCTACAACCAAGATTACTCTACCCAGAAAGGATCTCATTCAGATTCGATGGAGAAATCAAAAGCTTTACAGACAAGCAAAAGCTAAGAGAATTCAGCACCACCAAACCAGCTCTACAACAAATGCTAAAGGAACTTCTTTAAGTGGGAAACACAAGAGAAGAAAAGGACCTACAAAAACAAACCCATAACAATTAAGAAAATGGTAATAGGAACATACATATTAGTAATTACCTTAAACATGAATGGATTAAATGCTCCAGTGAAAGACACCAGCTCGCTGAATGTATACAAAAACAACACCCATACATATGCTGTCTACAAGAGACCAACTTCATACCTAGGGACACATACAGACTGAAAGTGAGGAGATGGAAAAAGATATTCCATGCAAATGGATATCAAAAGAAAGCTGGAGTAGCAATACTCATATCAGATAAAATAGACTTTAAAATAAAGAATGTTACAAGAGACAAGGGAGGACACTACATAATGATCAAGGGATCAATCCAGGAAGAAGATACAACAATTATAAATATATATGCACCCAACATAGGAGCACCTCAGTACATAAAGCAACTGCTAACAGCAATAAAAAAGGGAATCGACAGTAACACAATAATACTGGGGGACCTTAACACCTCACTTACACCAATGGACAGATCATCCAAACAGAAAATTAATAAGGAAACACAAGCTTTAAATGACCCAATAGACCAGATAGATTTAATTGATATTTATAGCACATTCCATCCAAAACCAGCAGATTCCACTTTCTTCTCAACTGCACACAGAACATTCTCCAGGATAGATCACATCTTGGGTCACAAATAAAGCCTCAGTTAAATTTAAGAAAATTGAAATCATATCAAGCATCTTTTCTGACCACAGTGCTATGAGATTAGAAATCAATTACAGGGAAAAAAATGAAAAAAACACAAACATATGGAGGCTAAACAATACGTTACTAAATAACCAAGAGATCACTGAAGAAATCAAAGAGGAAATCAAAAAACACCTAGGGACAAATGACAATGAAAACACGATGATCCAAAACCTGAGGGATGCAGCAAAAGCAGTTCAAAGAGGGAAGTATATAGCTATACAAGCCTACCTCAAGACAAAAGAAAAATCTCAAATAAACAATCTAACTTTACACCTAAAGGAACTAGAGAATGAAGAATTAAAAAAACCCGAAGTTGGTAGAAGGAAAGAAAACATAAACATCAGAGAGGAAATAAATGAAATAGAAACAAAGAAAACAATAGCAAAGATCAATAAAACTAAAAGCTGGTCCTTTGAGAAGATAAACACAATTGATAAACCATTAGCCAGACTCATCAAGAAAAAGAGGGAGAGGACTCAAATTAATAAAATTAGAACTGAAAAAGGAGAAGTTAGAACAGACACCACAGAAATACAAAGCATCCTAAGAGACTACTACAAGCAACTCTATACCTATAAAATGGACAACCTGGAAGAAATGGACAAATTCTTAGAAAGGTATAACCTTCCAAGACCGAACCAGGAAGAAATAGAAAATATGAACAGACCAATCACAAGCACTGAAATTGAAACTGTGATTAAAAATCTTCCAACAAACAAAAGTCCAGCACCAGATGGCTTCACAGGTGAATTCTATCAAACATTTAGAGAAGAGCTAACACCCCTCGTTCTCAAACTCTTCCAAAAAATTGCAGAGGAAGGAAAACTCCCAAACTCATTCTATGCAGCCACCATCACCCTGCTACCAAAACCAGAAAAAGATAGTACAAAAAAAAGAAAATTACAGACCAATATCACTAATGAATATAGATGCAAAAATCCTCAACAAAATACTAGCAAACAGAATCCAACAAAACATGAAAAGGATCATGCACCATTATCAAGTGGGATTTATCCCAGAGATGCAAGGGTTCCTCAATACACGCAAACCAATCAATGTGATACACCATATTAACAAACTGAAGAATAAAAACCATATGATCATCTCAATAGATGCAGAAAAAGCTTCTGACAAACTTCAACACCCATTTATGATAAAAATTCTCCAGGAAGTGGGCATAGAGGGAACCTACTTCAACATAATAAAGGCCATAAACGACAAACCCACAGCAAACATCATTCTCAATGGTGAAAAACTGAAAGCATTTCCTCTAAGATCAGGAAAAAGACAAGGATGTCCACTCTCACCACTATTATTCAACACAGTTTTGGAAGTCCTAGCCACAGCAATCAGAGAAGAAAAAGAAATAAAAGGAATACAAACGGGAAAAGAAGAAGTAAAACTGTTACTGTTTGCAGATGACATGATACTATACATAGAGAATCCTTAAGATGCTACCAGAAAACTACTAGAGCTAATCAATGAATTTGGTAAAGTAGCAGGATACAAAATTAATGCACAGAAATCTCTTGCATTCCTACACACTAATGATGAAATATCTGAAAGAGAAATTAAGGAAACACTCCCATTTACTATTGCAACAAAAAGAATGAAATACCTAGGAATAAACCAACATAGGGAGACAAAAGACCTGTATGCAGAAAACTATAAGACACCGATGAAAGAAATTAAAGATGATACCAACAGATGGAGAGATATACCATGTTCTTGGATTGGAAGAACAAACATTGTGAAAATGACTATACTACCCAAAGCAATCTACAGATTCAATGCAATCCCTATCAAATTACCAATGACATTTTTTACAGAACTAGGACAAAAAGTCTTAAAATTTGTATGGAGACACAAAGGACCCCAAATAGTCAAAGCAGTCTTGAGGGGAAAGAAACGGAGCTGGAGGAATCAGACTCCCTGACTTCAGACTATACTACAAAGCTACAGTCATCAAGACAATATGGTACTGGCACAAAAACAGAAATATAGATCAATGGAACAGGATAGAAAGCCCAGAGATAAACCCACACACCTATGGTCAACTAATCTATGACAAAGAAGGCAAGAATATACAATGGAGAAAAGGCAGTCTCTTCAATAAGTGGAGCTGGGAAAACTGGACAGCTCCATGTAAAAGAATGAAATTAGAACACTCCCTAACACCATACACAAAAATAAACTCAAAGTGGATTCAAGACCTAAATGTAAGACCGGACACTATAAAACTCTTAGAGGAAAACATAGGAAGAACACTCTTTGACATAAATCACAGCAAGATCTTTTTTGATCTACCTCCTAGAGTAATGGAAATAAAAACAAAAATAAACAAATGGGAACTAATGAAACTTCAAAGCTTTTGCACAGCAAAGGAAACCATAAACAAGACGAAAAGACAACCCTCAGAATGGGAGAAAATATTTGCTAACAAATCAATGGAAAAAGGATTAATCTCCAAAATATATAAACAGCTCATGCAGCTCAATATTAAAAAAACAAACAACCCAATCCAAAAATGGGCTGAAGACCTAAATAGATATTTCTCCAAAGAAGACATACAGGTGGCCAAGAAGCACATGAAAAGCTGCTCAACATCACTAATTATTAGAGAAATGCAAATCAAAACTACAATGAGGTATCACCTCACACCAATTAGGTTGGGCATCATCAGAAAATCTACAAACAACAAGTTCTGGAGAGGGTGTGGAGAAAGAGACCCTCTTGCACTGTTGGTGGGAATGTAAATTGATACAGCCACTATGGAGAACAGTTTGAGGTTCCTTAAAAAACTAAAAATAGAATTACCATATGACCCAGCAATCCCACTACTGGGCATATACCCTGAGAAAGCCATAATTCAAAAAGACACATTCACCCCAATATTCATTGCAGCACTATTGACAATAGCCAGGTCATGGAAGCAACCTAAATGCCCATCAACAGACGAATGGATAAAGAAGATGTGGTACATATATACAATGGAATATTACTCAGCCATAGAAAGAAATGAAATTGGGTCATTTGTAGAGACGTGGATGGGTCTAGAGACTGTCATACAGAGTGAAGTAAGTCAGAAAGAGAAAAACAAATATCATATATTAACGCATACATGTGGAACCTAGAAAATGGTACAGGTGAACCGGTTTCCAGGGCAGAAATAAAGACACAGATGTAGAAAACAAACATATGGACACCAAGGGGGGTAAATGGCAGGGGTGGTGGTGGTGGTGGTGTGATGAATTGGGAGATTGGGATTGACATGTTTACACTGATGTGTATAAAATGGATGACTAATAAGAACCTACTGTATAAAAATTTAATTTAATTTAATTTAAAAAAATTTGTTGAATAGCCTTCAAACATTAACTTATAAATTTTCATTTCCCTAACCACAGACATGAATTTTTTTTTAATTTAATAAAATATTATGCCTTCAGTCCATATCCCAGAACTCCAAAAATGGTGTTGGAGTTTGAATGTGCAGAATGAGAGAAGACCTTTAATTTTTTAATTTTCCTGCAGCTGGAGAGATGGATCACCAATAATATACCAGAACTGGGACAAAGGAAAAGAAGAATCCATGATTAAACAGAGCCAGAGATGTGGCTTCATTTCATCCATAACAGGTTATTTTGTTCATCCACTTTGGGGTTTATATTACAAACATGATTTTCAGAAGACTTGAAGTCTCCTTCTCATTGCATTAGTTCAGTGAGAAGGGTTTGTTTGGTTATTTTGCTTTTCAACTGAGTGTGTTTAATTTTATAAGTCTTAAGTCTTAAGGATGACCATTCCTACAGTTTATTCCATGCATTCATGTTCTTGAAAATAATTTACATCCAGATAAGTCCTTCCTCTTGAACCAAAACTACCAAAAATGGGCCCACTGAAATGGGTTAAAAATTGCCTGACAAATACTATTCTCTATGAAATTTCAACATGGGCCCATTTTTTTAAATCTCTTTGTAGTATCCAGTTTATAATTGGTCAGAACTTTAACCTCTGGAATTTACTTTCATTTTCCCATTTAAGAAAAATTTTCATTGAATTCAGTGTTCTTTTTTTAACACCAGGCATTAATTGCTGCCTGCCTTAGAACACCAACTCTTTGCCAGTTGGATTTAGAAGTACATGCACATTTAAGATGGGTTTTTAAATTCTATTCATCAGTACAGTGTTATTGGGGTTGATTGTCCACTCATATACATCCCGCTGTTCCTATCCAATAAAAGGTAATGATGTTCCTGACTCTAACAGATTCTCCCAAGTCAGGAGAGGGATAAACATGGAAAGCAATCTCTGATGTAAGGGCAGCTGCAGAGAAAGTTAAGAGAGGAAAAACCATGTTGTTAATCAGCTCGCTTTTGCCAGCAGGTGTCACAACAGCCTACAGAAAGGCTATTTGTGATTCTGGAAGAATAGCAGCTAATCGGCATTGAAAATAGCATTCCGGCCCCTCCTTCAGAATGCCAATATCTTTTTGGCTTATACCCCTCACACTAGAAAACTGAATCTGCCCTTGCAATTTACATGCATCCTTGCCCTATTCTGGAATTTGTAACTTGAATGCTAATGAAATGCATTCTATAAAACTTTACTCTGAAAATATAGCTCTTCTAATTAAAAGAACATTTTCCAAGAGACTGAGGACTTTGGGATATATTCCTGAGGGCATGTCTCTAAATGTGTGTGTTTTGTTTAAGGGTCAGCGTTCAGAAGTGCTTCTTCCTTAGAAGTTCCTGAGTTATTTTTTCTAAATTATTATATTTTTAATAATTATAAAGTAGAAATGATCATCTATTGTTTTAGAATTTTTTTATCTTGAGGTTGAATACTTTAAGTCAAAAATATTACTCTACAAAATATTCTTTGGCTAACCAGGTCAAATGTTGTTAAAACTTTCAACAGTTTTGTGATTGCAATCGCAGTATTTGTTTAGATTTTTTTTTCTTTTGCATTTGCAAACTTTCTACATTCTTAAATTAGATTTACTGACTTGGCACCTTGCCCAGTTAGCTCTTGTCACTAGAGAATTCTATGATTAGTAGTTAAATTTAGTTCAATTTCTAGATTGAACAAAGTCTGGTAAACCACAGCAGTCATAAAAAAAACAGTGACCAATAGAGAATGCCTACAAAGTGTCACCATTGTTTCTGGTCATTTCTAACCATTTTCTCTTCCAGGACTCTGGGCTAGTGAAGAGTGTTCAGTTTCTATGCCTAGCATCTGTAAGCGAAAAAAGTTTTGGATCATAGAGAAAGAGAAAGATACACCAGGAAAACATGGAACATGTCCCAAAGGATGGTTATATTTTGACTATAAGGTAAACTTGTTTTCAAAAAGTTGCTTTTGTTTCTCTTTTGTAGGTTTTAATTTTAGAAAGTAATCAAAAAGCAGGTGTGGCTTTGAAAAACTATGAGTTGTCCATTGGACCTGGAATTTTTTTGTCACAATTTTCAAGAGATTTGAGAAGTTTTCTATTTAGGGACAGATCTCTTGAAATTAAAAGGTTTTGTCAAAAACAGCCTTGACACCACCCTTCGTATGTATACTCAGTTTTTGCTACTGACGTTGTCATTCATTGCACTGTATGACTATTTCATTAGGTGGGATGTGGGTGCGTGCCCATGTGTGTGGGCGTGTGTGGGCGTGTGTGTGCATGTGGGCATGTGTGTGTGGGCATGTGTGTGAGGGTGGGCATGTGTATCTAGGCCCTGTTCCCAAATGAGCTGTCAGCTCCAGAGGGCCCAGACTGTCTCTTCTTTTGTGTCTTCCCTGCCTGGAGCCCTCATAGAGCTCTATCCGCCTTGTCAACTGCCTGACTAATAACGTAGCTCCGTCAACTTTGTCTTGAGCCTCATATAGCCGGCACTTCCATGCAGAATTGGATTTTTTTTCTAAATGGCCAGTGGGGATACTGTAAACTAGATTTATTATTTCTGATACTGTCTCCAATTAAGGCTGAGACTTCCCCTCTACTCCTTATGTTTTAAAATAAAATAACTTTATAAGCCTTAGGTGGAAGTAATTACAATGTATCTCAAATTATAAATGTTTAACTCTTTGATAATTAAAAACTCAAACTGTGTCATAATTTCGTATGCTAGTATGAAATTGCTCCTCCATCATGGACAATTTTCAGTCTATGTGTTTAGTTACGTTGGTAGGGCATTGCCTCCCTTGTGATCTTCCTCTCATTGTTAATTTGTGAAATGGGGCTATTTGGACTTAATACACATTTATTGAGCACCCACTACATATTTGGCACTGATATTTTTAACTGTGGTAATATTCACATAATATAGAAGTTACCATCTTGACCATTTTTAAATGTATAGTGCAGTAGTGTTAAGTATAATCACACGGCTGTGCAATGACTCTGCAAACGTTTTTCATCTTGTAAAACTGAAACTCTAAACCCATTAAACAACAACCCCTCATTCTCCCTCCCCACAGCCCCTGGCAACCACTATTCTACTTTGTCTCTATTAATTTGACTATTTCGGACACCGCATGTAAGTGGAATCATACAGTACTTGTCCTTTTGTAACTGGCTTATTTCACTTAGCACAGTGTCCTCCAGGCTCACCCATGCTGTAGCATGTGTCAGAATTTTCTTCCTTTTTAAGACTGAATAATATTCCATTATATGTACATAACACATTTTGTTTTTCCATTTATCCATGGATGGACATTTGGGTTTCTTCTACCATGTAGTTAACTATTTCTGCTGGCAATTTCATATATATATAATGAATATATATATATATGTATATATATAAAATGAATATATATATAATGAATATATATATATATATATTTCTTGTTTTATTGAATTTTTAAAATACACAGAATTGTTATCCCATCTTACCTATGAGAAGACTGAGTCTAATAAAATTGTGTGGTTTTTCTGAAACTTACGGCGAATAAGTGTCAGGCTGAGAATCAACCTTAAGTTCTTTGACCCTGAGTCTTGTCCCTTTCCTACAGCTGCCACTTCATATAAGAACTTAGCCCTATGACACAATCAGTCCGGGGGCACTGTGAAATATTTTCTAAAATAATATAGTCATTCTCTAAAATGTTATATAGTATTGAGACACACTATTTTTAATAGTTGATACCTTCAGTCTGCTTATTTTCTCAAACCATAAACTCTTTCTACCAGTTGTAAATTATTTATATATTTCAATATGACAAACAGCAAATATTCAATAGAACTTGAGTATAACTAAGGTTTTTATTAAAACCTTTGACAATTAGCTTTTTATTGTGGTAAAATATGCATAACATAAAATATGCCATTTAAACCATTTACAAGTGTACAATTCAGTGGCATTAATTACATTCACAATGTTATTCAACTATCACTTCTATTTCCAAAACTTATCATCATCCCAGACAGAAACTCTGTAATTGGTTAAGCAATAGCTCTCTATTCCCCATCCCCTCTAGCCCACAGTAAGCTCTAATCTATTTTCCATCTCTATGAATTTGCCTATTCTAGATAATTCATATAAATGAACTCATAACAATATTTTCCTTTTGTGGCTGGCTTATTTCACTTAGCATAACGTTTTCAAGGTTTACCCATGTTATAGCATGTATCAGAATTTCATTCCTTTTTATGACTGAATAATATTCCATGCCACATTTTGTTTATCCATTCATCTGTTGATGGACTTTGGTTATTTCCACTTTTTAGCTATTGTGAATAAATCAGCTATGAACATTGGAATACAAGTATCTGTTGGAGTCCCTGCTTTCAATTCTTTGGGGTATATACCTAGGAGTGGAATTGCTATATCATATGCTAATTCTATGTTTAAATTTTTGAAGAACGAGCAAACTGTTTTCCACAGTGGCTGAACCATTTTACAATCCTGCCAACAGTGTATGCTAGCAATTTTTCCTCATCCTTGACAGCACGTTATTTTTTTTTTTGACAGCACTTGTTATTACCTGTCTTTTTGATTACTGCCAACACTAGAGTCTAGTGTTATCTCACTAGATTTGGTTTTGATTTGCATTTCCCTAATGACTAATGATGTTGAGCATCTTCTCATGTGTTTATTGACCACTTGTATATTGTCTTTGGAAAAATGTCTATTTGACTCCTTTGCCCACTTTTTTATTGGGGTTATTTGTCTTTTTGTTATTGAGTTGTAGGAGTCCTTTATATAAAATGCTTATCATATGTTTTGTAGGTATTTTCTCTCATTCTTTAGGTTGTCTTTTTACTTTATTGATAATGTCCTTTGATGCATAAAAGTTTTTAATTTTAATGAAGTTCAATTTCTCTAATTTTTCTTCTGTTGCTCATGCTTTTGGTGTCATATCTAAGAACATGTTGCTAAATCCAAGTTCACAAATATTTACCTCATGTTTTCTTCTAAGAGCTTTATGGTTTTAGCGCTTATATTTAGGTTTTGATCCATTTTTAGTTAATTCTTGTACCTGATAGTTTTTCACAACTATTAAAACAAGTGCATCCCATGTATAAAAAAGAATATTTTAAGGAAATTCATGACAAGTCATACCCTTGGCATTAGAGAAATAATTCTTAGAAACTTACAATGGTTGTTTTTGGTTTACCCTTAGCCATTGTCCTTTCCTTAAACTTTCTCATCTACACAGCTTAGCTATATTCCATGTTTCCTCCTGTGTAAACGTGGGGAGTATGTACACATATGGGCATGTAATAGTGATGGTAAAGCAGACCCAGGACAAAAGAGCAAGTAAATGCTTCCTTTGAAAGAATAAGAAGGGGCATGAGTAAAGCACAGACACACACATGAGAGGAGAAGGGCTTTCTGAGGCTAACTATGGAGCAGGATTAAAACACCCTCATGTAGCTCAGAGGATATTTTTAATTTTTCTTGATAACTAGTAGCTAGATTAGTGGTTCACAACCCTGATCAAATATTTAGAATCACCAGGTGGGCTTTCTAAAAATATCAAGGTGCAAGTGACATCCTAAAGATTCTGATTTAATTGATCTGCATGGGATCCAGGCATCAGTATTTTTTTTTTTTTTTTTTTTTTTTGGGCCGCTCTTGCGGCATCTTGGGATCTTCCCGGACCGGGGCACAAACCCGTGTCCCCTGCATCGGCAGGCGGACTCCCAACCACTGTGCCACCAAGGGAAGCCCCAGGCATCAGTATTTTTTAAGAGCTCCCTTGGTTATTCTAATGTGCAGCCAATAATTGCCCAGCAATGCAACAGTTACACAACTTAGTCTTGTAATCATTCAGAGGATTTGATTACTAAGGATAGGGTCACAGCAGGCTTCATGAGAGGGTAACCTTTTACAGAGTGAGATCTCAGAGTCCCCACGTGTGTCTCCCCACCCACAGTGCTCTCCCCTGCATATTAATGGCTAAAATCCCACCACTGGAGTCTCATTCCTTTGCCTTAACACTTTCCATTACATTTTTTAAGGGAAATATTTCTGAGATGGCCTCATCTGTCACCTACACTTTGGGATAAGTGGGTTTATCAGATCATTAGAAAAGGTGGGAATAGGAGGGTTAATAGTTGAGAGGAGTGGAAAGCCCAGTGGGCATAGTTCTGACTAACAAAAAAAAGCTACAGAAGGAAAACGGGGAGATAGCAACGACAGACATTACTCACTTCAGAATTATGAATAAGCGTCACTATATTATGTTCCACTAAACTTTGCTTCTTGTTTGTCAACTTCCTAGGACAAATTTTCATTGGTTATTTCTAAGAAAAAAATCCCACTTGGTTGACTCTTCACCTTTAAGAGTTTCAAAACTGAGATACCAGAAGTTAAGTGTCTTTTCTCATTTCTCATAAATTATTTTCCCCATGTTTGATGATGTAAAAGAGGTTTGACCAGGGATTACCCCAGGAAGAGTGAGACATCTAAGATACTTGTCACAGCAGAGTTGTATGTAAGAGGAAGAAATTCTCTGTGTATATTAGATTAACTCTTGTGCTTCTACTTATACATTTTTATTCAGGGACCTGGATTTAGTGCTGATGGCTGCTTTGCACCATCTAATTTTGGATTAGCCAATATTTGGTTTCATGCACAACAAAGTTTTTCCTTAAAAAAAACAAACAAACCACTCTCTCCTCTCTTAAATTATTCAAATTCTTAGCACTTTATTCATTCATTGCATTTAACTATGCTGGATATTGGCGACTCAATGGTGAGGAAAACAAATATAATCCCTTCTCTTTGGGAGTTTACAGACTAGAGGGGGAGAAAACATTAGCAAATCAATCAGGAAAAAAACTCTAATTTACAACTGTGACACAAGCGATGGAGAGTTACACAGTTCCATAAAAGTTTATAACAGGAGGACCTGACTGAGGTGGTCAGAAGGACAGGAAGCATTAAAAGTAGGGGGAACTACATGTACTAAGGACCTGTGGTGAGAAGGAATGTGACATATTGAAGAAAGTAAAAGAAGCATAGAGAACTAGAATGTAGAAGGTGAGACAAAAGACGTAGGCAAGGGCAATTATTGTGTTAGAGTTTCTGGTTTTTATCCTAAGAGCAGTAGGAAACCCTGAAGGGTTTTAACTAAAGAGGGATATGATCATTGGGGTTGAGTTTTGAAAAGAATCATTCAGGCTGCAGTACCAAAGATAGATTGGAGGAAGGCAAGGTTGAGGAAAATAAGAGCAGTTAGAAAGATATTGCAATAGTCCAAGCAAGAGATAAGTCCTTTGGGCTAAGATGATGGTGGCAGAGACTGTGGGGTGGTGGGAATAGGGAGAGTGGTGAAGGTCTCAGAAATGAGATGTCCAAATGGTAGGACCGAAGGGGTGATGAAGGTGACTGAAGGGTGAGAAGATGCTCAGGTTTCAGATTTAGGTAAATGCATGACTGACTATGCCATTCAATGTCAGTAAGAACACTGAAAAAGGACCAAATTTGGGAGGAAGATCATGAATTCCATTTTCAAGTATTGAACTGGAAATGACTTTGAGACAAAAGAGTTTTATATTCAAAACTCATTTGGAATACAGTAAAGTATCCTTAATTCACAGTAATAATCAGAGATGCATTAAACTTGATCACATTTTGCAAATCAGTAAGTAAATAAACAATTTAAAATTGAGGGTGTTGTACTCCATCTTGCTACTTTGCTTTAATTATGACACAATTTCAAAGTGTGTTAGTAAACATGTTATATTTTTAGAAACAATGAAGTTGTGGCAGTGGGGGTCTACACTCCCATACTCAAGCTGGTAAATCCTGGTTGAGGCAAACAGGGTGGGGGGTGGGGTCTGGGTGGGAAGCCGGGGTATGTGTGTGTGTTTTCTGTAGAGATTTATTGAGCTAAATGAAACAGTGAGGTTCATTGGTATTTATGAATGGTTCATTAGTGCAACTATCTGAACACAAGGTGAATTCGCATTAAATGATAAGACTTCCTAATAATTAGTATGCGCCACTCTTTGGAATTTGTAATTAGAGGAAAGAGGCAGAATGAAAGGAAATTGATAAAAGGGTAGTTGTTATAAAATTAAAACCCTTTAAAGCCAATTCCATTTCTTTGTGAAGCAAATAAGGTAAAGGGGATCAGAAGAAGAGAAAATGTACTTCCTGTCTTAGTTGGTAACTCAAATTCAGGCTAGATCAGAGTTTCTGGTTTTTATCCTAAGAACAGTGGAAAATCCCTGAAGGGTGACGTGTTCGGAATTGGTTTCTGAAAAGAATTACCTGAGCAGTATTGACATTAGAGGCTGGATAATTCCTTGTTGTGAGGGACTGACCGGTGCATTATAGAATGTTCAGCAGCATCCTTGGTCTCAACTCACTAGCTGCCAATAACAGTCACCACCCCCTCCCCCCTTGAATTGTGACAACCAAAATGTCTCTAGACATTATGAAGATATCACCTGAGGAGCAAAATGGCCTTGTTTGAGAACCACTGGACTAAATCTAGAATCCTGAGAATGTCATTTGACAATCATTACCGGGTCTATTGGCTTTTACTTTGTTGCATAAATATTTACTGAGGACCTTGTTTGTTTTGCTGTTAAAAGAGGAGCAACACTTAGTCCCTCTGCTTTGTAAGGAGTCTATGATAGTAGGGAAGGGATGGGGGAACTGATAAACTTAGAAATTAAAGAAGGATGCAGAAGGATGCGCTCTCACGTGGCATGGAGGTTGCCACATTAGCCTAGAATAATCTTGTAGCTGGGATTTTCTCAGTGGCAGATCTCAAGATCAGACCTATCAATGACCAGGGTTGGCTATGTTCATTAATGAGGGAATAATCCACATGGAATATTTTTGGCATAAAGTCTCTCCTGACTTCTCTGGAACTTTGCCTGATCTGTTACAGCCTTTCTCTTCTATCTTTCCCTCTCCCCTGACTCCATATAGCCCAACTAACATGGTTAAATTTCACTGAGCTTGGTGAGGGGGTGACTTTCTTCAACTTGCCTGATCTGCCTAGCAGTTACCATTCCATATTTCTCATCCCATAATGAGTAACCCCCGCCACGCCATCGACATGATTCTCTCTTGAGTGAAAATCAACTCTTACTGCCAAACCCCACAGCCTTCTTTCTGAGTTCCTTTTGACCTTGTTGGCACCCCTCCCCTTTGTTTCTCCTTCCTAGGTTTCCTTGGTCCTCCCTTTGCTTTTCTTCCCACTGGGCTCATTTTTTTCTTTTCGGGCTCTTCCTCATTGACTTTTGGACCACATGGCTTACTCCAAGTATTTAGTGAATTTAAATACCTGATATGGTTTGATTCCTCAATATTCCTCTCTCACTTAAAGTGAGGAAGTGTATTTGTAAATAAAATGGAACAAATCTATTAACTGCCACCAAAAGAAATATTTTAAAGATTAAATCCTCCACTGTAAACTTTGCAGTCAGGCTGGCTCCTTTTTAGAAGGAATGCTATTTTTCATCGAGCTTAAGACATAGTTCTGACATCCTGCATGACAAAACACATCCTTGCCTCTGTTCCCACCTGATGCAAATGTGCAAAAGGCACTGACTCACCCTGAAAGCTGGTCGTCTTTGTTTTTCTTTCACACCTTTGGAGCAGCTGGGGAAAAAAAAAAAAAAAAGGGGGGGAGTCATTTCTGTGCAAGAAAATTATAAAAAATTTTCAAAGCTGGTGCTCAGTATCTTTAGGAAACTTTTAATTCATTTAGAAAAATATGGAAATGAATGCTTTTTTGGACATTTTTATAGTGCCTTTTGATGAAAATCCCCAAGGACCCAAGCGATTGGAAGAACTGGACATCTGCTCAAGATTTTTGTGTTGAAGAAGGGGGGACACTTGTCGCCATTGAAAATGAGGTGGAACAAGGTAGAGTACTCAATGTTCAATCAGGCAAAAATCACCATTTTTATTCAAGCGTCTGTTAAAATATTCCTCCAAAATACTAACATTTCCAAATCAACATTTTAAGTATTATATTGCTGGTGACGCGTAAGTTTTCAGTTTGACCTATAAGGTTTATATCAGGACATCTGTAAAAGTTAGTACGCTCCATTGTTTACAAACTGCTGATTTTTTGGAGCCTTTTGTCTCACCAGGCATAGTGGAAAGAATAAGGATATATTTATGATCGGCATTTCAAAATGGCTAAAATAATCTGAGGTATAGTCTATTATAATTGCATGGTATAATTTTTTAGATCCCTTTAGAGTTACCTACACACTTACATTTGCTATTTAGGCAATAATCGTATACTTTAGTTAAGTATAATGGATAGACCCTCTTTTGTTTAGAAAGGCATTGAATGGACACTGGAAATTGTTTTACTAATGATATGATGAAATCCCAGGCTTAGCCAGCTAATTTCTGTCAATTTAAACTGAACAAAAGTGACAGAGACGGCATCATCTTAATAAGGACAAAGTAACAAATTCCTACAATTGATTCGTAATTAAGTTTTGCTATCATTTAAATAAAATCATAGCTATAAATAGAATTTGATGACTACCCAAATGGTTTATATGGTATTAAATTTGATAATGTATTCTTATTTTTCAGCTTTCATTACTATGAATCTTTTTGGCCATACCACTAATGTGTGGATAGGGTTACACAATGATGATTATGAAAAATGGCTAAATGGAAGGCCCGTGTCATTTTCTAATTGGTCCCCATTTGATATAGTAAATGTAAGTTGTAAGATTTATTTTTTAGAAATCATTTTAGCAAGAGATCCTATTTGAGACTTGTTTACTGAAGTTTTTCTTTTTTTACTTCCTATATTTTGTAGGCATAAATTTTTATTAGTTGGTTGCTAATATATTAATTTTCAATAATGTAATTTCATATAATTTTCATGTGTTCCATGAATATAATTTCTTTACTCATCACAATAATTATTTATTTTGTGGGTTACGAACTGATTTTTGAACAGGTTTATTAAATGCAAATAAAGGAATAATAGTGTTTGAATTTTTTAAATTATGTCCTTAATAAAAATATCAATGTTATAATAATGTTATATGTTACCATTTTTAAAAAACATGTATTCTTTTGAAGATTCCATCTCATAACACCACCGAAGTTCAAAAACGCATTCCTCTCTGTGCCTTGCTGTCAAATAATCCTAATTTTCATTTCACTGGAAAATGGTATTTTGAAGACTGTAGAGAAGAAGGCTATGGGTTTGTTTGTGAAAAAATGCAGGGTAAGAAATATTTGTTTTTTTATTCCTTTCATTTCCATGGCCCACTCTTCTCTTCCACATTTGTTTTACACACTGTATAAATGATAGTTTCATAGCTAAGTGCCAGCACTTATTTTTTAAGCTTTACATATATATGGTCACTACCTGGTGGCGCAGTGGTTGAGAGTCCGCCTGCCGATGCAGGGGACACGGGTTC